ACAGCCTCTTCCCAATATGCGTTTTTGCAATTTACATATATGCAAAAACGCATAAAAATGAACAATTTTTGCTGGACGATCCCTCATTGAGAATGATGTGGCGGTTCAGTGAGCAATTTTCCCGCCAAAAGTTTACATGCCTGTACACATCACGCATGCCTGAGGGCTGAATTTGAAATCTTCAAGCTGTACAATGACAAGGAACATCCTCTTAAAACTTCAGTTTTCCAACTTTTCTAGTTCACGAGTTAGCAATTCTCCCTTTAAAAACTTCATGCAAATTTGCGCAAATACAAAAAAAAAGAACAAAAAGAGCCCTTCCTGTATAGTAAAGTTTGCGAAAGGCATTCCCTTGAAAAATTTTGCTTCCGAGTTTCTTGCACTGGGATTTACATCAAGAACAGCAAGGGCGCCTGGACAAGTGTGGCTATCCCATGTTAGTAAAATTACTGGTATGCTTTTAAATGCTCTTACATGTAATTATGTCAGGTTGTTTGATCTTAAGCTGAATGTCGCGCTGCAATGAATCTTAGCTGTTGTAGATTATTCTTTGATAAATTTATTCATCAAGTTATGTGGAACACAGCTGAAAAATTACGAATCACGAGGGCCCGCCCTCCGCTGCTCGGAAGACTTCACGACCTTCAAACCGTATTCGCTTTGGTACTAAAATATGTCTTTCGTTCGCTCTGTCTTTGTCACTTTTTACTCGGAAATTTATGTTCACACTCATCTGCAAATAGCATTAGCCTTTTTAGCACCAATGGAAATGTTGATTTTCTGAGCAGCGAGCTAAATAGAGAGACCTCAGTTGAGATACTTTCACCTTTCCGGTCGAAAAAAATTTTTTCGATTGAAGCCATTGTCGAATAGGAGCCTTATTTTTTAATTTTGTAGACTTATGGGTACTGAGAAGCTCCCAAATCCTAGAAATAGAAAGGAGGGGGTTACTTAACCTCATATGCTTGGGCTACTTCTCTGATGTCTTCACCACTCATTGAACATCGATGGGAGTTATATGACATTGATAAATGAATTAAATAAAAATTGGGCTTGTTAATTCACAGCTTTTACATTTTGCTACTCATGTTCTATTGACTGAAAGCGTGTTGCAAAAACTTTTTCAAATTTAACAGTGAGCATTTTTCCTCCAATTTCAAGCTTTAAATTGCAAATTCGCAGGTTTAAAAAACATGAAATCTTGGTTCGGCATTAGCTGTGGTGACAGCATGCAGAGGTGTGTACCGCATATTTAACAAAAATTGAAGATCTTGGAATACTGGAATCGATTTACAGGAAAAATTTGAGTCCACGTTTACTTTATTCTCAACTTACGCACACAAAACTGAGAGAGGAACTGCGGAGGAAGAGCAAGTTTAAATCTTGTTGGGCATCCTAAGATTTCACTTGATTTACGTTTAGAAATTAAATCGGTGCTTTGAAACTTACTGTGAGGTTGTGTTCGCCTTTTTCTTGAATTGTAACAGATGTCTGCTCCGCCCGATTTGATGCCTAAATTAAACCAACCAGCAATGAACTACATCTTAAGCGGTTAAAAAAGTGCATGCGGATGCTTGCAAAATGGAGGCTCAGTTCCCAGGTTTTTTTTTCTAATCCGCTCTTGCTGCAAAAGGAGCCCCGTTTACAAACAAAATAGCCAAGGACTTTAGCATTACTCTTGATTCCTGCATAAGCTAATTTTTCAGTTACTAGTAAAAAGTCAAAAAGAGAAAATATCACAGCGAAAATTTCTTGAATAACATAATCGAATGATCCAATTTGGCTAGCTAAATGTGAGGAGAAAAGAGATATACCTTGGAAAGACGTCTTTACCGCATACCTAGGATAATCGAAAAGCCTCTACAGGCCACGTAATTTAGCATATCTCATCCAACACATCAAAGGGCGCGAGTTGGTTGCCATACACAGTAATTTGAATTACCGCAGAAACGTACCTCAGAATCGAACGCTGAAGCAGTACTTGCGCTGCTCTTTGTTGTCTCTGTACCAAATGTTGCTTTGCTCGATCTAAATATGGAAACAAAAGACAATTTCCTTGTGCTGACGATGGCTGGCTCGCGACTCAGGCGATGGAGAGTATGAATTAGAGGGAAGTAGTCAAGGTTAAGGAAACTGGACGTAGCTACTTCAACATGCAATTGCACCTCATTGATATTGTGTGTGTGGCATTAGCGAGGCTCGAAATTCTAAGCAGTGATGAGAGAAGCTGGGCTAAAATTGCAAAAAGTGACGAAGAAAGAGAGAGAGGGATAAGAGGATAGGGGAGGCAATTTTTGATGGATAGAAGATATAAATATCGTAATTACCTATATATGCAAATGTAATTTGCTTTGTACTTGCATGTAACTTTTAACGCGCATGAAAAATAGTATCTACAAAAAGTTGGTTAAAATTCCGGCCTTTTCGCCCATGTCTTTGGGGTGGCAAAACAAAGGATGGTGGCTATTGGCTATGACGAGTCAGCCGAAGAAGAAAAGTGTAGTAGCTGTTATCAGTAGTTGCAACCTAAATGGAATTTCGCGGAAAATATTTTTGGCGCCTACAAGACTTGTAGCTTTTTATGTTACGTGAATAGTTACGTGATCGCTCTGATCGCTCACGTAACTATTCACGTAACATAAAAAGCTATAAATAATCGGCGGCATTTTATCGCATTCTAAATCTATTATAAATCTGTTCAAATTTGATAGGCTTCGGGAATCTGCAACGAAGTTGAGTGACGCCTGTGCGTAGCAAAAGGTGACTTCTACAAGATGAGCGTCCCCTACTACTTTAATTGCCTCCTGTAAAAAAACCCCTTGCTCTAGCCTGCCAACAAATTCCTCCGATAGTTGATGTATTCAGAAAATCGAAAGTACTTTCAAAACTCACTGTGAATGCCAACTTCTTGCATCGCTCGAGGACTTTGAAATATCAGACTCATCGCATGGTACTTTGATCAAAATTTTCACTGTAAAATAAAAGTTGCAATATTTAAAAGCAATTCAAGTTTGAAATTTACTGTCTTTTGCTACTCAGTTGAATGCTAACTTTTTGAAGTAATAACAGCAAAGATCATGAATTGTGCACGAAAAAAGTAGAAGTGCGAAATTAATGATACATGACACGACACATATAAAGCATGTTTTTTCACAGAAAAAATTTTTACCTTCATCAGGTGACCGCTCTTGCGTGCTCTTTACATCATCTGACATTTGGGTTTTTGCAAGACTGAAAATTGCTGTTTAGCATCTAAATTTTACAAATAAAAATTGATCTACGCGCATTCTCGCTCCTTTCAAACTATCATATTTGCCTTCCAGGAGGTGAAGTGGTGCTCGAAAAGTAATCCAATTGGTAGCAGGTGCCAAAAGTAACTACTTTCTGGCAAGATTCTCTTATTTAAGAAGGAAATTATTTAAGAAGGAAATTGGTAGGAATTCTTAACCGCGCGGCATACGCCAGCGTCAGTTTACCATCGAAGCGAATGAACGAATCACAAGAGGACTGAACCGCGAAGTGAATATAGGTGTACTCACCACACTATTGGTGTGCCAAAAGATTTGATGCACTTAAATGTAGCTAAACGTTAAGTACTCGTAAACCAGACATTTCTGCTTTCTGCCTACTTTTTGGTTAAATGCGTTTTGTAATTCATTTAAAAATGCGCTGTGAAATAAAAAAAGCTTTTAGCAAAGCCAACTAACACTTCTGACCGGCGCTGATCCAGTGGTACTTTAGATCCTAAAACATCGTGTTCTGGAGACTGAGTGTTAAGCGCATCAATCGAAAAAGAAAAATTTTTTGCATTTGCAAAATTCGAAATCGTAAGAGGGACTTACGTAATATTTCCAAAGACTTTTCCTTATCACCCGCAGAAATTTGCTTGACGAGTTTATCAGAACCGTTTTGGAGCTTTTTAGCGGTGCCAGCAAAACCTGACCGGCGTGTTTCTGTTGATGCAGAGCCCTGCAGCACACATGAAATTAAAACAGTTTTCATTCTGCTACTTTGATCAGTCACAGTTCGTAATCTGTTTCTCCAACGATGCAGCTGGCAACTTTTCCTATAGCTTTGACCAACGTCGCATCATCTGATGATCAATTCTTAAATGAATGAATTATATATTTCATTAAAAATTTAATGAATTATACGGTGCTGCAAAACTGATTCCAGAATTTTACATGGCAACCATGAAGATTGACAATATAATCAATTTCCGGCCAAAATCTATCAGCTGCACTGAATTTGACGAATTTTATTAAAAATACTCTTTCAACCCATACCTTATCTACATTTTTATTTACAGGCTTGTAGTCATCAGTCTTATGAACTGTCTGGTAAGGCATGGATGTTAGAAGCACTGTTGTATTGAATATCAGATTTGTGCATTTTATACTGAATAACTGTGCAACCAAAACACACACACACGGTAACTTTGTATTATCGTGTAATCGACTGTTGCGCAGTAGCTAAACCAAGATACTGGACGGAGACATACTACGCTACTAACGGAAAAATCGTAGTGCACTCTGTGTTTCATCCTTTAGCTGTAAATACAGACACAGCTATGTGCGTAAGCAGGAATGGGAATCATTAGTACAGTCTTTATTTGCCACTTATAGGAGGCGCGTATGACTATGATTATATCAACATTCTCTTTTATTAATTTATCAGCTGCACTGGATTTAGCAAATCTTATTAAAAATATTCTTTCAACCCACACTTTACTTCCTAATGAAACATTTACCATTAACGCTTTTTATCAGTAATATTATTTTCACAGCTGGTTGAAAATATGTTAACTGGAGTAAATAATAACCTGTGACTTGGTGGATGAGCGGCGCGCAGAGGACCTTATCCAAGTACTGGGACCTGGCTTAAATTTAGCTCCTGCTACAGAGAGCGCTGACTCTGGCTTATGCGATGTTTTCTGATATTCCTTGCTAGGATGCTGCACAACACTTGAAGACTTGGGAGCAATCACTAAGCTGCAGCATTTGGACGAGTTTCCTGATCTATCTGAAGGTGTTTCTTTGGTGGGTTTGTCCAGGAGGATTTGTCGTCGCTCCTCTGCAAGACTGCGCTGCTGTGCACGTTTTTCCGCCAAACCCGTGCTGATACGTGATGGAGGCGTGCTACGTCCGTGTGCCCTCAAAGAATCGGCAGAAGCCACACGTGCCGCTGAAGATTCTGGGCTTGCTCTGTGCCAGGACGCCTTTGACGCATGTAGTACCGGTTTCTGCCGGGATGCCTTTAAAGTTTCTTCGGATTCAGGAAGGCCGGTGCTGTCTTCCTTGCTTGTTCTCGGCACACGCTTGTCTGCGCTAGTTGCTCTGGGTGATGATTTCTTCCGCCGAGCAGGTCTTTGCAAACGCGGAATATGGCTTAAGTGAGCAAGCGATGCTTCTGTTAACTTTTTTTCCGAGCGACCAGTATTGTGCGGGAAACTGGTGATCCTGACGCCATGTCGAGCCAATGTTTCAGCAGATGCTAAACGTGCTGTTGAAACCCCACCGATTGTTTCGGTGCTTTTTAGCCTCGGAATGCGTGATCCAGTGCTCGGCAAAGCAAGTGATGATCCTCTCCGCTGACTGTACGGCTGAAGCGGAAAATGCCCTGGTTCTTCAGGTTTCTTAAAGACCGGGTATACTATCGATGCGGCGGTGCTGAGTTGTTTCATTTTTTCGCTTGCGCCATTTTGGTCATAATTTTTTGTCATAAATAACTGTGAATAATTATCCTCTGCTGGAGGAGAAACGGAATTCTGCGTTCTGTCGGTCAAAATTCGTCTGAAATTGATAAAATGTTATACAAAAAAAAAAAAAAAAAATGTCTGTTCCCTCCTTTCCGTTTAGTTTATAGGACAAGAAAAGCTACCCTTCCTTCACGTTTCTCGCGTCTGTAACACTTGATTTTAAGTTTGTGAGGGCACGGCCAGGACGACCCTCAGTACTTCCCAGCCTAACGGACGGGCTGATCATAGTTTTTATTAATATGATCCTGATAAGGCCTCTACGGCCGTATTGGTCCTCCTATTTTGCCCTTGACTGCACTGCCCAGTGTTTACAGTCCTCCATGCGGGCTGTTTATAGTTTTTTATGCGTTTTTTGCAGCAATGCAATGCGAAAAACGCATATTGACGAGAGGTTGTCTG